AATAACTTGTTCAAGGATCACTCAACATCAACGCCTATTATACGCGGATGAAAACAATCTGGAACGAGCTCAAAACTTACCAACCAGCTCCAACCTGTCATTGTGGAAACATGAAGGCATGGAATGATTATCAAGAGCAGGAGTTTGTGATGATATTTTTGATGGGTTTAAATCCTTCCTACGCTACTGTTAGGGCTCAAAACCTGATGATAGAATCTTCGCCATCCATTTTGAAGGTTTTCTCGCTGGTGGTGCAAGAAGAACGACACCGTGCGATCGGCTTCGACGCGTGCGCAGAGGCAGCTGCTTTGTCTGCTTCTTCCGTTGCCCTAGCTCAAAGTCGAAGACGACCCACCTGTTCACACTATGAGCTCGGGGGCCACACTGTGGGCTCAGGCGGGGGGGCCACACTGTGGATAGGTGTTACCGGTTACATGGGTATCTACCGGGCCTCAAGCCCAAGCCCAAGATGCACTCGCCTGACTCCAACCAGTCTGTTTTTAATGAAGGACAAGCCCAAGCCCAAGCCCAAGCCCAAGCCCAAGCCCGCAATGTTTCAACTCAGTCTCGGCCCACTCCTGAAACTAGATCATTTAATTCATCTGGGTCTGAGTCCAGGCCCGTCTTTTCTTCTGCCAGCCAGGTCTCAGCCCATGAACAGGCTCCTCCAGGGCACAGCTCTTCTTCTTCCTCGGGCATGCACCCAACTATGCGACAGGCGCAGAACTTCGCCTCCGCCGTTGCCTGCTTGCCGGCGCTTGATTCCACTGCCTCGGTCGATGTTCTGAGCACGTCGCAAATTCAGAATATTATTGCCCACCTAAGCGCACGGCTCCACTAACCGCACTCCGCCATCTCGCCGGACAACTTCTCTCCTCCCACCAATAATGCCACTTCTGGCCTTCACGCGGCAGGTATATCACCCATAACTTTCTGCCTTTCCAGTTTCACACACACACTTACCTCTAAATGCTGGATTATTGACTCTGGAGCCACACATCACATATGTTGCACACCCACCCTCTTCACCACCCTTAAGCATGTTGAACCCATCCCAGTTACTTTACCAAATGGTAGTTCAGTGCTAGTCACTCAACTTGGAAATGTGTTCGTCACCGACACCTTAACCCTACACGATGTCTTATTTGTCCCTCATTTTTTCTTTAACTTTGTCAGTGTCAGCATGTTGACCACCACCCACAACTGTACGGTTAATTTTTCTCTTCATTCTTGTGTCATCCATAACCACACTCGGAACTTGTTGATTAGGAATGGTAGATGCATTGACAACCTCTACTACTTAATTACTAGGCATTTTTATTTTTCCGTTGTTAATTCTATTTCCGCTAATTCTAAAAGTAGCCTATGACACTTTAGAATGGCTCACCCTTCCTATGAAAAACTTCAGTACATTAATAAAGATTTACAGATTTCGAATATTTTTTATTGCAAAATTTGTCATTTGGCTAAACAACGTAAATTGTCTTTTGTGTCTCACAATAAATTATCTGATCGTCCATTTGATTTAATCCACATTGACATTTGGGGTCCTTTTTCTACATCTACTATCGAGGGATACAAATACTTTCTTACCATTGTTGATGATTGCACTCGCACTACTTAGGTGTATCTTTTTCGTCAAAAGTCGGACGTTCTTATCATTTTTTCTGACTTTTATACTCTTATCCTTACACAATATAAAACTCTTATTAAATCTGTGAGATCTGACAATGCGCATGAGTTGAATTTTCATTCATTTTTCACATAAAAAGGCTTTGTTTCTTATCATTCCTGTGTTGAGACTTCCTAACAAAACTCTGTTGTCGAGCACAAATATCAACACATTTTAAATGTGGCACATGTCTTATTATTTCAGTCCCATGTCCCTATTATCTATTGGGGCGACTGCATCTTGACTGCTGTTTACCTGATCAACCATACATCTTCCTCGTTGTTATCTAACAAAACTTCATTTGAACTATTAACTCACAAAAAACCATCTTATGATCATTTGCGTACCTTTGGTTGTCTATGCTATTGCTCCACTTTCGATAGTCATTGCCATAAATTTTCACCTCGTTCTAGAGCTTGTGTCTTCCTCGGTTACCCTTCAGGTTATAAAGGATATAAACTTCTCAACATCGAGAGCAATCAAATCATCATCTCTTGAAACGTCATTTTTCATGAACATATCTTTCCATTTCTTTCATCCCACTCACCTAGTCCCATTCACAATGACCTTTTTCATGACCGTGTTTTACCTCTTCCTCTCCATACACTTACACACTCACCAGTTTCTCTTGATTCACCTACCCACTCACCGCATGACTCGTCCCAAACCCCACCACCTCGACCTCTGCGTGTCACACGACCACCTTTTTATTTGTCTGACTATCACTGGTATCATACAGATACACATGCACTTTACCCAATTTTCTCCTTCCTTACTTATACAAAGCTTACACCTCAATATCACAACTTTATTTTTGCCCTTTTCTCCCACACTGAGCCTATCAACTTCTCTGAGGCTGTCCAATCCGATGTTTGGAGGACTGCTATGAATGTGGAGCTACGTGCTTTGGGGAACAATAATACTTGGTATGTTGTTTCTCTTCCACCCAGGAATAAATCTGTTGATTGTAAATGAGTTTATAAAGTTAAATATCAATCCGATGGGACCGTAGAGAGACACAAAGCCCGTCTGGTTGCTAAAGGCTACACACAACAATTTGGCATTGATTTCATTGACACTTTCTCTCAAGTTGTAAAATTGGTTACTGTAAAAATTTTGCTTTCACTGGCTGCTATTCATGGTTGGAGTCTGACTCAGTTAGACGTCACCAATGCTTTCCTTCATGGTGATCTTCACAAAGAAATTTATATGAATATTCCTCCAGGTTATTCTCCTCGAGAGGGGGAGACTTTTCCACATCAACCTGTTTGCCAGCTACATAAGTCAATCTATGGGTTGAGACAGGCTTCCCGACAGTGGTTTCACAAGTTCTCACAAGTATTACTTCAAGAAGATTTCCATCAGTCACAATGTGACCACTCCTTATTTATCAAGCATCAGGGTAATGTTTTTCTAGCATTGTTGGTATATGTTGATGATATTGTTATTGCTGGTAATGATAATCATACCGTCAAAGAACTCAAAGTTGCACTCAAACAAAAATTTAAGATGAAAGATTTGGGAACTCTTCGATATTTTCTTGGACTTGAAATTGCAAGAAATGACACAGGAATCACCTTATGTTAAAGAAAATAGACTTTGGATCTGTTAACTGAAACTGGGTACCTTGGTTGTAAGCTCTCATCTACTCCCATGGAATCCAATCTTAAGATATCCAAAGATGATGGAGAACCTCTGTGTGATATCACAAGTTATTAGCGACTGATTGAAAAATTATTGTACTTGACCATTACTCGTCCTGATATATGCTATTCTGTCAATAGACTGAGTCAATTCTTAGCTGCTCCCAAGACCAGTCACCTTCAAGCTGCTTTGCGGATTCTTCAGTACATCAAGAGAATACCTGGACAGGGTCTCTTCTTTCCTTCATCATCTACCATTCAAATTAAGGCTTTTTCTGATGCTGATTGGGGCACATGTCCTGACACTAGAAGATCTCTGACTGGTTATTGTATTTTTCTTGGATCTTCATTAGTCTCATGGAAATTAAAGAAACAGCAAGTTGCATCTCGGTCATCTGCAGAAGCCGAGTATCGTTCCATGGCCAATACTACATGTGAAATAGTGTGAATTCTAAATTTATTACGAGATTTAAAGGTGCAACATCAAGGTCCTACATTGTTTTACTGTGATAATCAGACAGCTCTACACATTGCTTCGAATCCAGTGTATCATGAGAGAACAAAACATATTGAACTTGACTGTCATTTTGTCCGAGAAAAAATTCAGGATGGTACCTTGAAGACAATGCATATATCCACTCGCAATCAACTTGCAGATTTAATGACAAAAGTTCTTCATCCTACGCAGTTCGACAATTTATTGAACAAGATGGGTACAATAAATTTGTACTCTCCATCTTGAGGGAGAGTATTAAGATTAATTATTGATTAAATGAAATTAGTTTGCTAATCATAGTCTTTTTGATTAATTAGTTGTTGTAACAGTTTTTGTCTTTTTCTCTTTGCCATTGTACAAGCTGTATATAGCCTTTTGTTGTCCATAAATACAATCAGAAAAATCAGAGTAATTTTTCTCCATCATTCTTTTTCTTCTCCTCCGTTCGTAACACTTATTGACATTTTGCATGACATTAATGTTTATTATCATTGTCATAAATGGTTGCTTATTGATGTTTATTTGAATTATCAATCCATATCTTTAAAATTTGCAAATTCAAGCAATATGATCCATTTATGCCCCATACATAACATGGGCACAACAATATTTGTTTCTTTATGTGCTCGATTTTTGCCAACTTTTATTACTTTCTCAATGTTTATTAATTTCTTCATATATATATATATATATATGTATATGTGTGTGTATATATTATCTTACTTCTAACTTGGGAAGTTTTGGAAAACTATGTGTTGGACATATTATTTGTAGAAACAAAATTTACCTTAGTGGTGATAAGGCTTTCATCTTGAACCATATATGCATATTGTCCTATTATTTCATCCTTAAATTCTTGTTATTAGGGCTTTAAGAGCAGCTTTTCTTTTGATTTCTTTAAATGATGTATTTGCTTTTTTGAAACTCTTTTGACAGTGGATAGGTAGCATATTACTAACTCCACATACAATAATATCACCACTAATCTTTATATTTTCAAAGAAAACTTTCATCAGATATCATTGTAAAAACTTGACTCTGCTTCATATTCATTCACCACACCCACCTGTTAAAAGTAGAAAAATCAACTCGCGACATATTTTGGTTTTCTTTGTTATTCACAGAAGATAGTTCCTCCCCATGAAAACTAAATCAAAATCAGAATACCAAAAGAACCAAAAAGAATCAATTTTGGATTTGAACGGACTAAGGTTTGAGAGATAATTCTACCATGTCTACTCAAATATTTGAATTGAGTTCCAGCAAACAAGGATGTTAATAGTCTTCTTTAATCCCTGAAAAAAAATGAAAGACTGTTTCTATTTCTTCACATACCTGAACCGTGGAACAGTACATGCGACCAACAGTTTTCTTCTCAAATGGAGACTTAGACAGCAGGAAAAACTAAAAGCATCAAACCCTGGAATCAGTTGCTGAAGATTCTGACCCTAAATCACTACAACAAGGAAAAAGCAACAATATTTGTTTGGAAACATTACAAAAAAGTCAATACCTATCCATTAAAGTCAGTTTAGTTCCTTTTTGAAGATGATACAACAGCCTCCATAGCAAGTCTAGTCTGCTCCGATACCAAATCGGCCCTTTTAGCCATGAGCTTCGCCTCCTCAATCCTCAGCAGCATCCACTTGTCATTCATCTCCCTCAACTTTTCTTTCCCTAACAACTCAATCCATCTTTCC